TGCCCATCACTTTTCTTACATCTTCCAAAAATTGCGCCCTACAAAAGACGAGAGGGATTAAATTAACAAATGTATTTATTTCCTAAATATAGGATAAATTCGAGATTTAATTATATTACTTTAATATTTAATGATATCTTGTCAATAGATAGAACTTACACTACAAATCTCGGTGGTTTCCTAATATTCGCGTATTTGACGATGTCGTTATCCGGTTCGATATTTGCACAGGCAAATCTATTGTTGACAAAGTCCTTGTCAAAAATAACAATAGATCTGCCTATCGCGGATATCGAGCCACCCAGAGGAAAATTTTGATCTGTAAATACTTGTCGTTTTTCTCCAACGTTAATAGGTCCTAAACGAGACGATATATCACCGACATAACATCTAAGCGGCAGATCTGGACCGCATTCCTGTCTATAAAGATCATCCTAAAAAAAGATCATTTGAAATGAATAATAGAATAATCATTTTAATGAGCAATACATTTTATTTCGATTTATATATATCCATATCGTGAGAATAATTCTTCAATTTATTGGAATATAATTTTATTATATATATATCGCAATAATTTTATTATATATATTATGAATATTGGCAATATTTACATTTATTGGATCGGCTAATTGAGTGTAATAGGGATTCCACATGTATCCACCTGCTACGCATCGGGTATCCTTTATCTTCACCGTAGCGTCTACACCCACAGGATTTACATATATCGCCCAATTGTGATTTCTAGTCTAAAATTAAACGTATACAATTAACATATGCTTGTTAGGTACATATTAATGAATCTCGGATTTATTTTCTTACAATATTGCGATCGTGTTTTCCGGGATGTCGCAAATTCACTTCGATCATCGTCTCACTTTGGCTACCGTCTTTATACACAAGCTGCGTCTGCAAACATCAACTAAATTCCTAAATAATCTTGTACATTTTTTAAATAAAATTACCAAATTTATAAGAAAAATTACCATTTTTATGTAACCGTATACAAAGCCTTGTGGATGATGAAACGACGCGATAGCACGTAATTCACTGGCATCAGCCGGAGAATATCCTCTCTCTATAGTAGAACATGCCCATCTAAATACAGAGACGAGATACGAAAAAGGTTAAAGTAAAAATATATACATCAATTAGTTTTACCTTAAATTCTTTTCTCTTTTATGAATCACCACGCTACGTCCCAGTATACTTCTTGGGCCAAACAGTGGCAACATCGTATCATTATATGTTATTGCGTATCTCTTTTTGTTGTCCAAGGTGCCGTATTTCCCGCTCAAATCACCCATCTCATATTGATCCAATGTACCTTCCTCCGTTGCTGGTACATTGTTCGTATCGACACCCAATGGATTCCAATGTCCGTAGAGCGATGTTTCCTCGCACGGAAATTCTAAATCGTACTCCACAGGTGTCTGTAATTATAGTAATATTAATAATTAATATAAAGAATTTTATATTAACAAAGATTAAATTTGTGTGGTTTTATTACTATAACATACAAAAAGAATAATCTGTAAAAAAATTATATAAAATTGTCGCGCTGAAATATGCAGTAAATTTATGTGCGCTCCTTTTTTATAATCTTGTACAGAATTCTAATCAATTTGACATATAAAATGCGCAATGTAAAATCATTACATATATAATTAGTATTACCATATGTACGTGATATCCGCTCATCTTTCCACCGAGACCTTCGAGAGATACTTCTACACTAGTGACATCGTATTCGGTCTGCTGCAATAACTCTAATTTTCCTTCCAGAGGTATTTGTTCGCCATTACCGAACCAATCTCTGACGACCGCTTTACGCCGATAAACCCCACCAATACTAAAAATGTAATTATATCTCTATTACAAAAGATTCATTACAGTTTGGCACATTTATTATGCATTTACATGGAACAAGCCAATCGATCTCCTCTCGCAACTGGACCATGATCGTCATAGATGACTAAACTCTTGCCAAACAATGCGCGAGATCCTGATAAAGATAACATCGTTTCGGTAAAGAGTTTTCCAGTCAATTCTGAAGCATTAGCCTTTCTACCGGCGATATCGAGTGTCCCGTGTCTCGTTAAATCACCCAAACGACATAATGAGGCTTCTTCAATGAAGCAAGAGCTATCTGGCTTCCATTCCACCTGAAATATCATGATCTTTAACAAATATACAGAATCATAATTGATAAACATCAAGAATGCGCCGAACAAAAGCGTAAAATAGAAAATAGTTAAATTTATTTTTTTTTTAGAACGTATTTTTCATATAGCTGTAATTTTTTAAGAAGATCATTGTACATAATTTTCTTATGCGTTGGTTCGTGTAAAACATAAGAAATATTTCACAGATCGAGAGAGAAAAGAATATTTCATCAATTCATTTTATATAAATTTCTTTTTTTAAGATTTTAAAAGTTTAATTTTTAATTATAATACCTTGTAGGGATTGTAAGGCGATCCAGCGCTTAAACATCGACCTGTCCAATTGTAAAAATCTTTCCCCGGTGGATTGTCATGCACCATCCATCTGATAAATGTCAGCTGATTATCATCTGATGATGACAGTTATTTTTATAATTCTATTACGCAAAATCTCTACCTATGGTTCGCAGTATTATTTACAGCATTGCCATCTGCATAAACAAGTTGTTCTATTATTATAGTAGTGTCCATTTCGGGATCATCTTTGGGTTGTCGGAAGAGTATCCGCCCGACAATGGGATACCTGAACACTACTTCCGCTGTATACATCGACATTTGCCAATCGGTATGTGGCGTGTAAAGTGCAAACGTGCCACACACCCACGGAATTACGCCTTTATTATCGGTTTCATTATATCTAATAAGAAAAAATATTTTTTTTTTAATATGAAAAAACTTTTTTATGTGTGTTAACACAGACACATTTATATATTTTATATATACATACATATATAAATAAATTTTAACCATTTATATATATTTATTAATCAATTACTTGTAAAGAACTAATGATCTGTGAACAATACTGTAAATCCCGGAAAGTGGTAAATACGTGTCCCAATAAATTCCACTAAGTTTAGCGCTTCCGGGCAGAATGTCATTGTGATAAGATCCTTCCTTACGACCCTGAAGTTTTCCGGAGAGATCACCGATAGCATATTGATCCTGACTACCGAAGCCTATCCCATTCAATCACGAGAAAATCAGAATATTTACACGTTTTATTGGTTTAAATTTTGTCGTTGGTGTAATTATTACAGTAATTATCATTACCTGCCGGTGGAGTAGTCTTCTCAACTATATTCAAAGGATTGAACAGTTTTTTAGTGGTTAAACATGGGTCAACAGTAATTCCCACACTTTTCGCTGGTTCCGCAGGCAACTCATGGATTCTATAAGACGCCAATTTTGTGGCGTATCGTAATCTGGTTTCCAGATCGTTTATAGTTGTTAAAGAGATATTGATCCATGTTGGATCAAACGGCGTTTCTTGAATCGCTGTAACTTCCCCTCTGATTCCACGTGAATTGATTACAGCCCTAAATTTGTTTATAGAACTTTATTTTTAAGGAATTTAGAATTTTTTTTAGGAACCATATTTTATTACAGTTTCTTATTAATTATATATTCAATAGTTTTTTTTTTTTTTTTTTTTTTTTTTGAGAGAGAGAGAGGGAGAAAGAGAGAGAAAAATTAACGTTGTAATTTTATTTATCAAATTAAACTTTTTTTCTGTTTGATTATACGAGAGCATAAGATTGAAATGCGGCTCTTACTTTGTATGTATCGGCTTACGATGATTAATTTTGGCACAAACTAAGAACGAGTCCTCGTGTACGGGATGAAAAATGACTAGATATAAATGACGATGTGGTCCAAGCAAATCCGCTGGTAGTAGAGACAATTCCGGATCTCTATAGAATGTTTTATACTGTTCCTGTATATTGGCAGCAACTTTTATTTTGCCTAAACGTACATCGACGTCTCCGATAGATTTTCCAATGCCAGATGTATTAGGATCAAATACGTTTTGAAGTATATTACAGTTGTCTTTATCTGTAAAATGTATGCAAGTATTTCGCACAAATATAATGCTAGATATTGTGATAGATGATCAATATTATTAAAATAGCAATTAAAAATTAGTAATTAAATATAACATTTTAAAATTATACACGCGGATACTGACCTTTGCCAGTTTCAAAGATATCCGTAACATATATCTTCCAATGATGTTCGGTGTAATTAAGCGACTGTAATTTTTGTCTATGGATATGATGCAAATTTGTATGGATAATTGTATCGGTAGGCTCATCATGGTCGAACTGACCATTCAACCATCGAAACAAAACTATTCCAGCCACTGGACCATAAAAACGTGCTTGAGCAAATTTTTCAATATTTTTTTCAAGAACCTGAAGAGGGATAGAAAAAGTGAAACAATTTATAAAACAATATTGCATCATAAATCATAATAAATAATAATCGTAATTAAAAATGGACAATATTGATTAGCTTATTGCTATAAGTATTTAATTATTCAAAGGATCGATAATTTATATTATTCGACTATTCGATTAGAGCAATTGTGTATTTGTAATTTATAATTACTTGTAATTATTCTTTATCTTTCCTTGCAGGGCGAATGTTTTCCTTTAATTCATTTTTATTCTTAAGTAGATTACAGCTTTTTATATTTTAAATCAATTACCGTGATCGAAGCACATATCGTCCTCGGCGAATAATTATCTTTCAGCACCAGACCCTTTCCCCATAAACCCGCTTCTCCAGTTAAAGACAAATTCGCGACTTCTATCGATCCTGTTTGATTTGTTGGCAATTCGAGAGGTCCGACTTTTTCTGTCAAATCGATGATACTGCATATAAAGTGAAACAAAACAGTAATAGTAAAGAAAAATAAAATATATTCACTTATTTTTAATAAAGATATATAAAATAAATAAAATATATAAAAATGAAAATACAAAATGTAAAATATAATAATAAACTTTATAATAAGTATACATATACCATACCTTTCGCCGATATGTCGTTTGTCGCACCTGCCGTTGATGATCGTATAATCGACCGGAAACTGAGTGACCGACCACAGCCATTGCTGATCCGGATATTGTAAGGTCGGTTTCAGAGAATATCGTATTCGTACCGAGGATTCGGTGGCTCTTTCGAAACGAATTTCTCCGTGAAGACCACCGGAAGATATATACGCAGCGAGTTTAAGCGAACTCGCGATAGTCGCTGAACAAAATATTTTCTAATTTAATCTTCTCGCGAATATAACAGACACAACACATATTTTGTTACTTTCTTTCTCTTTAGGATCTCTTAAGCTTAAATTAAAAACCTTGCAAGAGAATCATCTTCTAGAAGTGTTAAATTGTTTTTTGTATAATGTATGCCATACAGCCTAAAACATTTTAAGATTATATATCTAAAACGTATCAAGAAAAGAATTGTGATGTAAAATTTATAGAATTTTTTCGGGAAGATACATTCTTTTTTTTATAAATAGTAAAACTCTGATATTTGCCGTGTTTATTATTTAAGTCGCGTGTTAAAAGCTTTCGCAATGTAAATAATTAAATGACACGTCTTTATTTTTGAGTACAAAAGAAAAATATTTGGCTTCTTTAATCGTGAATAATGTTGTTTGAGATATCGAGAATGTTTTATTTCGTACAATGTAGGCGGAAAGCGCGCTTTCACTCACCGTAGCAAAGTAACAAAAGCCACTGCATCGCTATTGGCGAACATCGAAAAATATATTCTTATATTCTTTTCTTTCAAAATTCGCACTAATTTCGTTAATATGAATAAAGGCGAAAATTGTTACCATTGCGTATGTGCGTCATACGATAAGAAAGATAATCATGGTCGAACCACGAGACAACCGACCAAACTGGCTGAAGTAACGGCTTATACTTTCTTATTTCTTGTGACAGAGCTGGTGGGAGTGGAAGAGAACGATGACCTTCATAAAAATGAAAGTTGGCATAGCACAGTTATATATCTGATAATTTTTAACAAATTCTTTTTTCAGCAAAGAAGATTGAATAAATAAAAAATATATATATATATATATATTTGTATTTGTAATTATATATACTACGCAGATTTATAAAACTGGTTTTGAAAGTAATTTGTAATTTGTATTTGTCTAATTAACTATTGTAATTAGAAATAGATAAATATTTAGATATAAAATTATCAATTCAAATTTAAAAATAATATAGTTCTATAATTCTACATATATAATATAATACATTTATCTTAATTATTGTTACCTTTAAATCACTTGCTATAAAAAATTTATCATTTTTTGGTATTTATTTTCTCAACAAAAGCCGTACTGTTTGTACATAATACCATATTTGTAAATGTTTTAGAAGTTTTGAGTACATAATATACCATATTTGTAAATGTTTTAGAATTTTTAAAATATAATCATCATATTTTCTGAAATATTAATATCCTCTAGGCATCGAACAAGATTGCAAAAAATAGTAATATATTCGCTCTAATATATATTATATATCTTTCTAAAAGTTCATTAACTTTTTTTATAAGAAAGAGTCGAATTTTCTAGCCATTGTCCAATCGAACAAAATGGTGGTTGTCTCATTTCTTATAGCGTTTTAAAGCTGATTAGAGCCCGTATCAGACTATGCATTGAGATTGAAATTTGACCAATCAGGACAAGGAAATTTTAGTTCCTTTTATCCTGATTGGTCAAATTTCAATCTTTAATACGTAGTCTGATACGGGCTTAAGAGTGATGTGTAACAGTAGTCTACGTCACGTACACTATAGATTTTCAGTACTAGCAGTGAATATCGAAACGCAGCCATAGGTAGATACAATGCATGTAATTGGCTATCAAATAGAGAATTTTTAAAGTCCCGAAAATTTTTTTATTCAATAGCCAATAGTGTGATATTGTGATTATGTATGTTTCTTGCTGGAAGGCTCTCTTGATTATATAATAGTTAATGATTGTTGACCAACTGGCGTGTACTGTGTACAATACAGGCGTATATAGGCAAATTCACAAGAAGGCAAGAAGCCATATTGATAGAAGATAATTTACCAAAAGAAACGAAATCATGGCGGATGCTGCGGCTCGTCAATTACAATACGAGTATAAAGCGGTTTGTAATCTTTTTTGTCATTTACTTTCCATTTTAATAACGTAATAATTGCTTTTAAAGTTTTCTCGATATATACCTCTTATTTTATCTGAAAATGTAATTTATAACCTTATACAGTGTGTTGTTTTTAATACGAGGTCAAAAAAACATTCAAATGTTGTTTTTTTAAAAAGAGGAAAAAAAAAAAAAAAAAAAAAAACAAAATTGTTTTTGATATTGCATCTATAGCATGTGATATTGCTTTATATCGTGTAATATAATAATTGTTACTTGCAGAACTCTAATCTCGTTTTACAAGCTGACGTCCGGTTAATAGAGAGACGTAGTCGAGATGAAGCTACTGGCGAAGTTATGTCCCTTGTGGGAAAATTGGATGGTACACGCATGGGCGATAGAGCCCAGCGTACCAAACCGGGGAAAGCAGAGGAGAGAAAAGTCAAGTAGGTTTATCATCAATGCAATTCAATATTTCTTGCTTCAACAGAATAGTCTTTATATTTTTAACGTTAGAAAAATTTTTACTATGATTTAATAATGGTGAGTTTATAGATGAATTAAAACTAATATATATTATATTTTTTTAGACGTCAAAAACGCGATGAAGCACAGTACGACTTTGCACGTATGAAAGGAGCAACATTATTGTCCGAAGGTGTGGATAAAATGGTTGGCATTGTATATCGTCCAAAAACACAAGAGACGCGTCAAACTTATGAGGTATTGCTCAGTTTTATACAAGAAGCTTTAGGTGATCAACCACGCGATATTCTTTGTGGTGCAGCTGATGAAGTACTGGCTGTGTTAAAGAATGATCGGCTTAAAGAGAAAGAGAAGAAAAAAGAAACAGAACTTTTACTTGGTTTATTAGCAGAAGAAAGATTTGCCCTTCTTGTCAACCTTGGAAAAAAGATCACAGACTTTGGCAGTGATGAAAAAAGCGCAACAAACGATGAAAATATTGATGAAACATATGGAATTAATGTACAGTTTGAAGAGAGTAGCGAAGAGGACGATGAAGATGTGTACGGAGAAGTCAGGGAAAATGACGATGAAGGCGATGAAGGTGAAGAAGCTAATGATGACAGAGCTATTCATGCAGAAAATGTAAGTATTTACTTGATTATTATTAATAGCAATTAACTCAAAGAAAACTAAATGTTTGCCTCTAACATGGTTATGTTTATTTAGTTGGGTGGTACAGAAGAAATGAAGAAAGAAAAACCATTACATCCATTAGACATAGATGCATATTGGTTGCAAAGAAGGTTAAGTAGAATATATGACGACGCTATGGTTTCGCAAGCGAGAGCTGCCGAAGTGTTAGCTGTTTTAAAGGATGCCGCAGATGATCGCGAATGCGAGAATCAGCTTGTGCTGCTGTTGGGCTATGATTGCTTCGACTTTATTAAACAGCTTAAAAAGTATAGACATACAGGTAAGAATTACACATGTGTACGATAAAAAGTTTGTATAATGCAGTTTTTAATTTGTCTGTCTAATAATATAAAAAGAATGGATAAAAATGAACTTTATTATGAAATTTATAGTTGCATATTGTACAATGTTGGCCTCATCACAGTCTGAATCAGAAAGACAAAAAATTCGTAACAAAATGAACGATGACCCAGTACTGGCGAAAATTTTACGGCAATTGGACACGGGTAAAGGTGAAGATGACGCCGACGAAACAATGGAAGCAAGATCGCAACGCAAGAGACGGGAAGAGAACGAAGACACGGGAGGGCCTGGGGGACAGGTTCACGGTACAAGAAATTTGATAGATTTGGAGGATTTGATATTCGCTCAGGGAAGTCATTTTATGGCGAATAAACGTTGCCAGCTGCCTGATGGCAGTTTTCGGAAGCAGCGAAAAGGGTAAATATATAAATATTTTCAAGTTTCTTCAAAACATTCGTTATCTTTGTCGTTTGCATTAATATTTGATTGTTTACAAAATATTTGCAGATACGAAGAAGTTCACGTTCCTGCCTTGAAGCCGAAACCATTTGCGGAAAACGAGAGGTTACACCCGATCGAACAATTGCCTAAGTACGTGCAACCCGCTTTTGAAGGCTTCAACACATTGAATCGCATACAAAGCCGTTTGTATCAAACGGCATTGGAAAGCGACGAGAATCTGCTATTGTGCGCTCCAACAGGAGCGGGTAAAACTAACGTAGCTCTATTATGCATGATGCGGGAGATCGGAAAGCATATAAACGCCGATGGTACGATTAACGCGGATGAGTTCAAAGTGATTTACGTCGCTCCGATGCGTTCGTTGGTGCAGGAAATGGTCGGTAATTTTCGCAAGCGATTGTCAACGTACAATCTGACCGTCTCTGAGTTGACAGGTGACCATCAATTAACGCGAGAGCAAATTGCTGCTACTCAAGTAATAGTATGTACCCCGGAGAAGTGGGACATCATAACGAGGAAGGGTGGAGAGAAAACTTTTACATCACTAGTACGATTGATCATTATCGACGAGATTCACTTGTTGCATGACGAGAGAGGTCCTGTTCTAGAAGCTTTAGTTGCGAGAACAATACGAAATATTGAGACTACCCAAGAGGATGTGCGACTTGTTGGTCTGTCGGCCACGTTACCCAATTATCAAGACGTCGCAGCATTCTTGCGTATCAAACCGGAATCAGGACTATTCTATTTCGACAATAGTTTCCGACCTGTAGCTCTAGAACAGCAGTATATCGGCGTCACCGAGAAGAAAGCATTAAAACGTTTCCAGGTGATGAACGAGATCGTCTATGAAAAGACAATGGAACACGCCGGTAGAAATCAGGTTTTGATATTCGTGCACTCGCGCAAGGAAACTGGAAAAACGGCACGCGCTATTAGAGACATGTGCTTGGAGAAAGACACTCTGGGTCAATTCCTTAGAGAGGGTTCCGCGTCGATGGAAGTTTTGAGAACGGAAGCGGAGCAGGTGAAGAATCAAGAACTCAAGGATCTGTTGCCATACGGATTCGCGATTCATCACGCTGGTATGACCCGAGTGGATCGCACATTAGTGGAAGATCTCTTCGCCGACAGACACATACAGGTTCTCGTATCTACTGCGACTTTAGCCTGGGGTGTCAATTTGCCAGCTCATACAGTCATCATTAAAGGAACTCAGGTCTATAATCCGGAGAAAGGCAGATGGGTAGAGCTGGGCGCTCTTGATGTGCTGCAAATGTTAGGAAGAGCTGGTCGACCTCAGTACGATACCAAGGGCGAGGGTATTCTTATCACAAATCACAGCGAGTTACAGTATTATCTATCGCTTCTAAATCAACAATTACCCATCGAATCCCAATTAATCAGCAAGATGTCCGACATGTTGAATGCGGAGGTAGTGCTAGGTACAATCCAGAATATCAGAGACGCAGTCACGTGGCTCGGCTATACTTATCTTTATATCAGAATGCTTCGTTGCCCGAATCTATATGGGATAAGTAACGATAAACTAAACCAAGATACTTTATTAGAACTGCATAGAGCCGATCTGATTCATTCAGCCGCAGTCGGATTAGATCGCAGCGGTTTAATCAAGTATGATCGCAAGTCCGGCAATTTTCAGGCGACCGAATTGGGCAGAATAGCGTCTCACTATTATTGCACGCATGAGACGATGTCTACATACAATCAGCTGCTGAAACGCACATTGAGCGAGATAGAATTGTTCCGCGTATTTTCGCTCTCGGGCGAATTCAAGAATATAAATGTCAGAGAAGAAGAAAAGCTAGAGCTACAGAAGCTAATGGAGAGAGTACCAATTCCCGTGAAAGAGAGCATCGAAGAACCGAGCGCGAAAGTAAACGTGCTCTTACAGGCGTACATCTCGCAATTAAAACTCGAGGGATTCGCTCTCATGTCCGACATGGTGTTTGTGACGCAATCTGCCTCGCGTCTTATGCGAGCCATTTTTGAAATAGTCCTGTTTCGCGGCTGGGCGCAATTGGCGGATAAATGTCTCTCCTTATGCAAGATGATCGATCGCAGGATGTGGCAATCGATGTCGCCGCTCAGACAATTCCGCAAGATGCCGGAAGAAATCGTAAAGAAGATAGAGAAGAAGAATTTCCCGTGGGAGAGACTGTACGATCTAGGTCCTAATGAGATTGGAGAATTGATCCGTGTACCGAAACTGGGCAAGACCATTCACAAATACGTTCACCAATTTCCGAAGCTCGGTCTATCGACGCATATTCAGCCCATCACGCGTTCCACCCTGCGAGTTGTACTAACTATTACACCAGATTTCCAATGGGATGAGAAAATCCACGGTATGTCGGAAGCGTTTTGGATCCTGGTTGAAGATGTAGATTCGGAGGTGATATTGCACCATGAATACTTTTTATTAAAGGCCAAATACGCTGCTGACGAACATATAATCAAGTTTTTTGTGCCGGTTTTTGAGCCTTTACCGCCGCAATATTTTTTGCGTATGGTATCCGACCGATGGATCGGGGCGGAGACACAATTGCCCGTAAGTTTTCGACATCTGATATTACCCGAGAAGAATCTACCACCCACGGAACTGTTGGATTTGCAAGCGCTACCAATCACAGCGTTGCGAAACGCAAAGTTTGAAAACATCTATTCCGAATTCCCGCAGTTTAATCCTATTCAAACGCAGGTGTTCAACGCGGTTTATAATTCCGATGATAACGTGTTTGTCGGAGCGCCTACAGGTTCGGGGAAAACGACCATCGCGGAATTCGCGGTATTGAGATTGCTGACGCAAAATCAGGAAGGTCGATGCGTATACATGGTGAGCAAGGAAGCATTGGCCGAATTAGTATATGATGATTGGGCGAAGAAATTCGGCCAACAGCTAGGTAGAAAAGTCGTTCTTTTGACGGGCGAAACGGGAACGGATCTGAAACTATTGGCCAAGGGACAGATCATTATCACTACGGCGGACAAATGGGACGTGTTATCGCGCAGATGGAAACAACGAAAGAACGTGCAAAACATTCAGTTATTTATCGTAGACGAACTGCAGTTGATTGGTGGAGAGGAAGGCCCCGTACTGGAAGTTGCGTGTTCGCGAGCACGTTACATTTCCTCACAGCTTGACAAGCCCACCAGAATAATAGCGTTGTCGGCATCGTTGGGTGATGCCAAAGACGCCGCTCAGTGGCTAGGTGCACCAGCAGCGGCTACTTTCAATTTCCATCCCTCCGTACGACCGGTGCCGTTGGAGCTGCACGTCCAAGGTATAAACGTCACTCACAATGCATCGAGATTGGCCGCTATGGCGAAACCGGTATATAACGCAATCCTTCGACATGCTGCGCATAAACCGGTGATCATATTTGTGCCTACACGTCGACAAGCGAGATTAACGGCTATCGACTTGCTAACATTCACGGCAGCTGAGGGTCAACCGTCAAAATTCTTCCATGCAGAAGAGGCCGACATTATTCCATTCCTCGATCGGATGGTCGATAAAACGTTAAAGGAGACTCTATCACAAGGTGTGGCTTATCTTCACGAAGGTTTATCGGCCGACGACCGTCGTTTGGTCGAACGATTGTTCGACAGCGGCGCTATTCAAGTGGCAGTCGCTACGAGGGACCTCTGCTGGGGTTTATCAATCAATTCCCACTTGGTTGTGGTCATGGATACACAGTGCTACAACGGTAAAACACACGCCTATGAAGATTATCCGATCACGGACGTTTTGCAGATGGTGGCGCGAGCTAATCGTCCACTGGAGGATGAAGATGCCAAGTGCGTGCTCTTGTGTCAAAGCTCAAAGAAAGATTTCTTCAAAAAGTTTCTGAACGAACCATTACCGGTAGAGAGCCATCTGGACCGCCGGCTACACGATCACTTCAACGCGGAAATCGTGACAAAGACGATCGAGAATAAACAGGATGGAGTCGATTACCTCACGTGGACCTTCCTGTATCGACGACTTACCCAGAATCCCAATTACTACGGTTTGCAGGGTGTCACGCACCGGCATCTCTCGGATCATCTGTCTGAGCTAGTCGAGAGTACATTGACCGATCTTGAACAAGCCAAGTGCGTCGCTGTAGAGGAGGAGATGGACACCTTGCCGCTCAATCTAGGAATGATCGCCGCCTACTACTATATCAATTACGCCACCATCGAATTGTTCAGTTTGTCTCTCAACAACAAGACGAAGATTAGAGGCTTACTAGAGATTATTTCGGCAGCCGCCGAGTACGAGAGCGTTCCGGTGCGACAGAGGGAAGAAAATTTATTGAGAAGTCTAGCCGCACGTCTACCTCATGCACCACAAGCCACCAGAATGGCCGATCCTCATGTGAAGGCACAATTATTGTTGCAGGCTCATTTGTCGAGGATACAGTTGGGTCCAGAATTGCAAAAGGATACCGAATTGGTGCTGGGCAAGGCCGTAAGGCTGATACAAGCTTGCGTCGACGTGCTGAGCTCCTCCGGATGGTTAGCGCCCGCCGTCGCCGCTATGGAATTGGCACAGATGGTGACGCAGGCAATGTGGTCCAAAGATTCTTATTTAAAACAGCTGCCACATTTTACAGCTGAGACTATAAAGCGCTGCACCGACAAGGGCGTGGAAACCGTGTTCGACGTGATGGAGCTCGAGGATGACGATCGGAATCGACTGTTGCAACTAACGGACGCGCAAATGGCGGATGTCGCCAAGTTCTGTAATCGTTATCCCAACATTGAGATGTCGTATGAGGTGCAAGATAAGGATAAATTACGTAGCGGTGGTACGGTAAATGTGATCGTGCAATTGGAACGGGAGGACGAGGTCACCGGCCCAGTGGTCGCGCCATTCTTCCCACAGAAACGCGAGGAAGGCTGGTGGGTAGTGATCGGCGATCCGAAGAGCAACTCGTTACTATCTATCAAGCGGCTAACGTTGCAACAAAAGGCAAAGATCAAGCTGGACTTTGTTGCCCCGGCGCCCGGCCAGCATTCCTACACTCTGTACTTTATGAGCGACGCTTATCTTGGCTGCGATCAGGAATACAAGTTTACCATCAACGTCGGGGAATACGAATCGGATGCCAGTTCCGGTTCCGATTCCGATTGAGTCATTTAAATCTCTCTAATATGTTCCGTAATATATATTTATCATTTTCCAGTACAGAGCATATATTTCTCAAATATACCGATATCACCATCCAATCAATCCGATTATTTCTTTTAGCACATAATTTAAGGTAATTGGAATAATTATAAGAAAGCGTGTGTATAGAAATCGGTAAGAATCTAAAAGTAGCAATTATGTTAAGTTGCTTAGCAATTACGTTTAAATAGTGTGTCGCATATTATTACTGTGAGAGAAGAGACAACTAAGAATAAAATTTATATTTGAATATAAAGGGCATAATAATTGTGTATTATTTTTATGTATCAAATTTTTTGCATATAAATTCTCTGAAATATTAATCTTAACGTTATAATTATAATCAGTATCCTGTTATTTGTTATCCTACTTTATCGTTTGTATATAAATAACCGCAAGAAGGAAGAAACCGAAATATATACGATATATTTTTGACGCTTACATCTTCATTCGTATTATCAGTTTATATCTACATCTATGACCATAATTATAATCGTATCAGATTATGTGCATTGAAGATTAAAATTAAAGATTGGAAATTGAAATTTCCCATCAGGATAAGGAAAGTTTTAGTTTCTTTTATAGAAAAGAGAGTTTCCGATTTCAAAAATTCTCTATATTTGAGAGCCACGTGCTCGTCTAGCTGTGTTTTCTTACTAGAAACCTTTCATTGCAACTGCCCCACGCAACCAATGAAATTGTGTCTGCATCTTGGGATATATTTCCTGCTTTCTTCCGCGATACGGCGTGAGAATAGATATAAAAATTCGTCAGCCGGTTTCCCGTCTACAATTGATCGATCGTTGCTTCTCCTCTATCCGATCCTCTTCGGTTACGCTGACCTCCGAGAGTTCTCTCTTTAAAACATCCCACGACGGTCACATCAGGCTCGCGGTAGAAGTTGTTCTGCGGTTTATACGTGATTCTAAGTAAGTAACACGGCAGGCAGAAGAGATTACCGATGTGACGAAATTGACGAAACTGGAGAAATTCGCGCGTTCTTCGCCGGGTTTTTTCGCGGATATTTTAATGGCCTCGGCCATCATCGTGGACACGCATCGCGCGCGATCTTAACCTCTGAATCAGCCCTTGGCGTTATGTGCGTAATCCGCCGGCCTTGTACGTCATATGCAACCGTGATTGCGCCCGATAATAACGGGACGATTCCTGACGCCGCCACCGCCGCCGCCGCCGCCATTTGTCAAAAATCACGCTTAACGGATTTGAGGTCAAGTGTTGGAATGCAACGTGAACATCTTGCGCGCACACTTCTCTTGATTCTTCACACATTTTCATAATCGTATTATTAGAGATTATCAAATATAGCAAATCGTACGAGATAGAAATCATGAGCGTTCGTCCGCATGTTTTTTCTCGTGAATTTTTCCGAGCGTTTCGCAACTTTTCGCAATTTAGTCTTCTTGAAAAAATATAACTTGGAATTTAATAGAAACGATGGTAATATAATTGTATTGATTTTTTCCTTATATACTTTTCAGAAAGGTATTGTATGAGTCAAAAAATAGAAAAACCGATACTATCAGGTCAACGCATAAAGACCAGAAAAAGAGGTAGAGATAAATGCGCTTTTATTATGTGGAATTTTAAATTTTCAAGGTATTAAATAGAAATAAAATAAAATCATTTGCAGATGAAAGAGAAAAGTATGATCCAACTGGATTTCGGGATGCGGTGTTACTTGGCTTGGAAAAAGCTGGTAACGACTTAGAAGCAATTTCTAAATATTTGGACGCAGCTGGTTCCAAGTTAGACTATCGTCGATATGGAGAAGCACTGTTTGATATCATGATAGCTGGAGGCCTTTTAGTTCCTGGTGGTTCCATTGCTCTAGATGGTGACAAACCGGTCAAGACCAGTGCGTGTGTTTTTGAGCAAGCAGAGGACATGGAATCTATGCGGAATTTTGAACAGGTAAAAGCTAAAAAAATCAAACATTGTGCAAACTATTTTAAAAACATTATTTTAAAATATTCAAGTCGAATAACGAGTGCGTTTAAATAAACAGGTCTTTATTAAGCTTATGCGACGTTATAAATATCTGGAAAAAATGTTTGAAGAGGAGATGAAGAAAGTATTGGTCTTCATGAAGGGATTTTCACCTAAAGAAAGGATTAAGCTAGCTAGAATGACAGCGCTATGGATCTCGAATGGTTCTGTGCCACCCACGGTCCTCTCGGTTCTGATCAATGAGCACCTTGTTAAAGACAACCTGGCATTAGATTTTCTACTGGAAGTCTTTGTTACTTGGAAACAGGAAAAGGGTTTATCTAGTTTAATGACTGCTTTGAAGAAAGGAGGCATTGAAGGAAGGTAAAATTAAAGTATCATATTTATATCATTTATTATAAAGTACATTTGTATGAATTACCATGACTACCATTATTCATGAATTACGATCTTCCTTGCTCATATAATTCTATTTCTGTATATACTTTAGGTTGATGGAATTTGTGCCACCAAATAAGCGAACAGAAGAGCATTTTCGGTCTGTATTTGAAGCGGTAGGGCTGGCAGATATTGTGAAATTACACAAGGCTCAAGCCAGTCAGGAAGCCAAACGAGATTTGCAACAACTTCTCTTGGACGAATTAGCAGAGAATAGGCCAATGAAAGATATAACATTAGATCTCAAAGAAATGGCACAAAGAAGTTGCATTCCCGAACACGAAATGATTGGTTTGGTAATGTCTTTCTCTCTTTTGTTTTTTCATATACTTGATTAAAACTTTTCAAGAGACAAAGGAAAAAAAAAACTTTAGAAATAATAATCAATACTCCTTTTACAGATTTGGGTTGTTGTAATGGGCCAAGCTGAATGGAACAAGAAAGAAGAGTTAGTTGCTGAACAAGCATTGAAACATTTGAAAATTTATACTCCATTGTTCGGTGCTTTTACAACCACTGCCAGATCTGAGCTCGCGCTTATCCTCAAGGTCCAGGAGTTCTGTTATGAGAACATGAACTTTATGAAAGTCTTCCAGAAGATTGTTTTACTCTTTTATAAAAGTATGTTATATACATATTTTATGTACAAAGTAACTTAAAACTAACCTAAATATTCTCTACAGTAATGTAGTACATTTAAACATTTTTCTGCATTTATGTATATATATGTAATTTTATTGAATATTTTATATATAAATTTAACTATAATTGTTTAAATTTCAGCGGATGTTGTATCAGAAGAAGTAATATTAAAGTGGTATAAGGAGGGTCATTCGGTTAAAGGAAAAATGCTCTTTTTAGACCAAATGAAAAAATTCGTAGAGTGGCTACAGATTGCTGAAGAGGAATCGGGATCAGGAGAAGAAGAAGATTAAAAAAATATTCAAGTAAATTACTTGTTATATAAAATTATGCAAAATATATACATTATATATATGCAAAATATATATTTTTTTTTTTATTTATAAAATTAAATTTTTTTTACCAGGTATCCGGATCAGACTTCTTTAGCTCGCCATAGAAAGACACACACCGGCGATCGACCGTTCCAGTGTTTGGAATGTCATAAAAACTTTCCCACTTCTACAGCGTTACGTCGTCACTTAACGCTACACAATTCGCAATCACGACCGCTTCCCTGCATCTATTGCGGTCGGCGGTTTATGGACAAGACTAGTCTAGCGAAACACGAAGAATCACACATGCCTAATGAACAGCGCAAGTATACATGTGACATATGTCAAAAGACCTTCCATCATGTAACTGACTTGAGTATGCACAAGAAGTATCACGATCCTGATAAGAAATTCGATTGCGAGGTCTGCGGTCGCGAGTTTAACAGATTGAACAATTTGCAAAGACACATGATGGTACATCAACAAGTACGTATATAATTATTTTAATTATACCTTCTATGATATTCTCTTTAATACATAGAAGAAGAAATACAAATATAAAATGTTATAATTTGATTTATTTTTGCATTTTATGAGTGTCTTATTTCGATTTTTGTTGTAAATTATTTTTATCACACATTAAAGAGTTATAAATTATTTTTTTCTTGTATATAGCAACAAGGAGGAAACGAGGAAATACTCTCCTGCGATGTGTGTGGAATCACATATAAATTTATGAGTTCGTTGACGAGACATATGGTAACTACTCATATGAATCCCGAAAAATTGAGACAGCAAGCGGAAGAGCAGAGAAGGAAGCGCGAGAATAATTACCGAAAGTATTTAGAAAACCGAAAGATGTACGAAACTCAGCACTCTACATATGGTACAAGACGTAAATATCATTTAGTTTCCGAAAGTAATGACGAAACGGCCTGACTTAAATTTTCTCATAGTCTCTTGATAGTTTCATAAAGAGCAGTCATATAAGATTTTTATTGGTGTAATAATTCTGGACTAGCGATGTCTTTGTATCATTCATCGATTGGCATAAGTGATACAGATGTGCATTTAATTTAATGAATATTATTGACACATACATATATATATATATATATACATTAATTAAAAAATATATAAGTAAATGTCTCGATCAGTACTTGTGCGTAATCCGCCGGCCTTGTACGTTATATGCAACCGTGATTGCGCCCGATAATAACGGGACGATTCCTGACGCCGCCACCGCCGCCGCCGCCGCCATTTGTCAAAAATCACGCTTAACGGATTTGAGGTCAAGTGTTGGAATGCAACGTGAACATCTTGCGCGCACACTTCTCTTGATTCTTCACACATTTTCATAATCGTATTATTAGAGATTATCAAATATAGCAAATCGTACGAGATAGAAATCATGAGCGTTCGTCCGCATGTTTTTTCTCGTGAATTTTTCCGAGCGTTTCGCAACTTTTCGCAATTTAGTCTTCTTGAAAAAATATAACTTGGAATTTAATAGAAACGATGGTAATATAATTGTATTGATTTTTTCCTTATATACTTTTCAGAAAGGTATTGTATGAGTCAAAAAATAGAAAAACCGATACTATCAGGTCAACGCATAAAGACCAGAAAAAGAGGTAGAGATAAATGCGCTTTTATTATGTGGAATTTTAAATTTTCAAGGTATTAAATAGAAATAAAATAAAATCATTTGCAGATGAAAGAGAAAAGTATGATCCAACTGGATTTCGGGATGCGGTGTTACTTGGCTTGGAAAAAGCTGGTAACGACTTAGAAGCAATTTCTAAATATTTGGACGCAGCTGGTTCCAAGTTAGACTATCGTCGATATGGAGAAGCACTGTTTGATATCATGATAGCTGGAGGCCTTTTAGTTCCTGGTGGTTCCATTGCTCTAGATGGTGACAAACCGGTCAAGACCAGTGCGTGTGTTTTTGAGCAAGCAGAGGACATGGAATCTATGCGGAATTTTGAACAGGTAAAAGCTAAAAAAATCAAACATTGTGCAAACTATTTTAAAAACATTATTTTAAAATATTCAAGTCGAATAACGAGTGCGTTTAAATAAACAGGTCTTTATTAAGCTTATGCGACGTTATAAATATCTGGAAAAAATGTTTGAAGAGGAGATGAAGAAAGTATTGGTCTTCATGAAGGGATTTTCACCTAAAGAAAGGATTAAGCTAGCTAGAATGACAGCGCTATGGATCTCGAATGGTTCTGTGCCACCCACGGTCCTCTCGGTTCTGATCAATGAGCACCTTGTTAAAGACAACCTGGCATTAGATTTTCTACTGGAAGTCTTTGTTACTTGGAAACAGGAAAAGGGTTTATCTAGTTTAATGACTGCTTTGAAGAAAGGAGGCATTGAAGGAAGGTAAAATTAAAGTATCATATTTATATCATTTATTATAAAGTACATTTGTATGAATTACCATGACTACCATTATTCATGAATTACGATCTTCCTTGCTCATATAATTCTATTTCTGTATATACTTTAGGTTGATGGAATTTGTGCCACCAAATAAGCGAACAGAAGAGCATTTTCGGTCTGTATTTGAAGCGGTAGGGCTGGCAGATATTGTGAAATTACACAAGGCTCAAGCCAGTCAGGAAGCCAAACGAGATTTGCAACAACTTCTCTTGGACGAATTAGCAGAGAATAGGCCAATGAAAGATATAACATTAGATCTCAAAGAAATGGCACAAAGAAGTTGCATTCCCGAACACGAAATGATTGGTTTGGTAATGTCTTTCTCTCTTTTGTTTTTTCATATACTTGATTAAAACTTTTCAAGAGACAAAGGAAAAAAAAAACTTTAGAAATAATAATCAATACTCCTTTTACAGATTTGGGTTGTTGTAATGGGCCAAGCTGAATGGAACAAGAAAGAAGAGTTAGTTGCTGAACAAGCATTGAAACATTTGAAAATTTATACTCCATTGTTCGGTGCTTTTACAACCACTGCCAGATCTGAGCTCGCGCTTATCCTCAAGGTCCAGGAGTTCTGTTATGAGAACATGAACTTTATGAAAGTCTTCCAGAAGATTGTTTTACTCTTTTATAAAAGTATGTTATATACATATTTTATGTACAAAGTAACTTAAAACTAACCTAAATATTCTCTACAGTAATGTAGTACATTTAAACATTTTTCTGCATTTATGTATATATATGTAATTTTATTGAATATTTTATATATAAATTTAACTATAATTGTTTAAATTTCAGCGGATGTTGTATCAGAAGAAGTAATATTAAAGTGGTATAAGGAGGGTCATTCGGTTAAAGGAAAAATGCTCTTTTTAGACCAAATGAAAAAATTCGTAGAGTGGCTACAGATTGCTGAAGAGGAATCGGGATCAGGAGAAGAAGAAGATTAAAAAAATATTCAAGTAAATTACTTGTTATATAAAATTATGCAAAATATATACATTATATATGACATTATTATAAATAAAATATCTTTTTCCACAGAAGAACACATCATTGCCAGTGATGAGAAATGACATGGTTCCAAAATTTCAAGACAGATTAAGAACAACTCAATATCAATCGGAAAAGACATAGACTCCATTAAAATTATACAAAATAAAAATAAAACTTAAGTCAATGTTAGGTACACCATGACGGATCAGGTAATCGAAAAAATAGAAAATTTTTAAATTGTCAATAAAAACTATAATACTAATGCATCTGATCAGTGTTAAGGAACTGTAAATTTGCAATGTCTTTGAATTGTATTACTTTAAGAAAAAATATTTTGTGTTACATTTTTATAAACTCCACTACAAAATATATACAGAATAACAAAGAAATTATAAGAAAAGAAAAAAAAAATCTTTATCCCTGTGTACGTACAATTTTCGGATCCCTGTCTTTCTTTGTATATAATAATATTGTACTAGTTTATAGAAAATATATACTGACAGGTGGTGTTTAATATTCGATCTCTCTATTTCTCTCTCTTTTTTAGTGACTCCTAACTTCCTTTTAATATATATATATATAATTTCTCTTTAGTCTCTTGCATGCACTGAATGCTGATTTAAAATAAAATAGCACCGTTTATATACAAATGTTTAAAGTGTGCCTTAACCATAAACTGGTTTGTTTATTTGCACAATGTCTCAAGTGTTTTGAAGTACGCGTATTTAATATCGAATTCCATATCGTACCAATAATTGATGGATATACAAGCATGGGATTGTGTTACATGGTGGAACCATAAAGATGGTAAATATAGTACATCTCCAGCTTTCAGCATTATCTTCAAAGTGTGTGCATTACGATATTCTGGATATCTAAAAATATATGTTTAGTTTTAGTCTTATTCTCGTAAATAAATGTCTAAAAAAGAAAATTGTATACTATATTTGTACTAAACTTTTTGTAATCTGGATTTAAAGGGTCTATACATATCCATGGTGTCAATGTGGAATTGGCAATTTGTTCTGAATCAGATATTTCATTAACTATCGGTTCAATAATCCATTTTCCAGATTCATATTCTTTGTAAACAGCAGATGGATAATTTCTATATGGAATCCATGGTAAATCCGTGGGAGGATGTAAGATAAAATTCTTTTCACCAGACACAACGCAATATATATTTTCATAAGGATCTTTGTGCACTATATATAAATTGGTAAAATAGTTTAGTATATTTGTGAATTTTGTCAATTCTTTTAGAATTAAATATATAGACTTGTAAAAAATGTGGATAGTATGCAAAATTTGTCAAGTTATAAAAATAAGATTTAACTAATGATCTTGTAACAAGTTTTTTTTATATAAATTTGAGATATTAAGATACTTTTTTAAAATGTTATCAAGTCGAATAAAACTTTACTGGAAGTTACTGCTCTTTCATCTCCCATCCAAAAGTTTACAGCGTCGGGTTGCTTTCCAAATGCTTGTGTGGCCCATGATATTTCAATTTCTGCATCTGACCATAATTTGCGAAAACTATTTATAAAATTTGAATTTTGTTTCTGTATATAAAATACGCTGTCTTTCTTCACGTTTTCTAATGTATCAAGAAATTTTGACATTGTGAGTAAACGTTCTTCAGGCATTACAAAAAATTCTTCCTTAGTATCGTCATCTCTTCTGGCTATTGCATCCGCGTAGCCATCCGGCGTTACAGCGACGGAAACATTTTCGTCGCCAAATACTTTACGAAGGTATGGTATAGACCACTTGCTTATAGCAGGCCAGTGTTTTACCGCTCCTTTTATTACCAATGGTATATTTTTTGAAACATATTCTCGGTAGAAAGTAAGGGGTGTAATTTTTGTGTAATTTATTTCTGCAACTTTACTTTGCAAATATAATTCTATAAAAATATAAAATAACAAGAATTATATATTATAGGGCTATGCAAATGTAGATTTTAATTATAGGAGTATATATACTATTTTTATGTGTTATATGTATATGCCTATATGTGATTATATACAATTTATACACAGACAAATCATTTTATATATAGCCATTCAACAAACTTTAATTCATATATATACTATTTAAAAATAATATTTTTTTTTCAACTGGAGAATGAAAAAAAGGATAAAAAAATTAAGATTGTGCTTGTAATCGATATATTGTATTTTATAGAGAGTCTCTGTGTATATATAAATCCATCCTTTTTACACTTATTTAACATCGATATAAAAATTATTCATTATATCCATAATATTTATTACTAATTATTTTTATGATCAAAGTAGAGGAGATGGAGAATAATATTAGTAATTTATTAGTAATACAGTTTTTTATATACTTTTATAAATACGGCTTTCTGACAGCGTCAATTAGTCCGCAAATAATTGGATGTGAGGTTAACCTACATATATTTTCAAACAAACCTTTCGCCTCTTGTGACAAAACATGATACGCCTCTTGGATTTTAGCTTCAGCATTTGACATTTTTTAAGTTGAGAAAAAATATAGTAGAAATTACATTTATGTCAATAGAAGCAGGCACAGACACAAGAGAATTCAAATCTATATGTATATATAGCTAATCAATTGTATGTATTTAGTGGACATAGCCTGGTGACTGGTGATTATTAGTCACGTGCTATCTGCTAATTGAAAGATTATCTCGATTATCTCATTGACTATCTATCAGTGAAACGAGAGAGATTGAAAAAATTATATTAGGTAAGTTCACTCTTTCTCTCTCTCTTTTTTTCTTTTAACAAATATATTATATAACAGTAATGACAAAATTATAATGGTAAAAAAGGCTTATAATGATAAATACAAGTTTTTATAAATTATAAATAGTATATAGTTGTATAAGGAAAAAATGTGAAGAATATATTTTTTTATCTATCATATATATTAATATATAAAACATTTTTTTCAGTTGCGTATGCATAATAAATTTTTTAATAAAGTTTGTTTATAAATGATGTATATAAATGTGAATATTAATTGAATGTATTGCAAATTTAATATATGATAGTAGAAAATATTAATCAAGATGTTATATAATTACGAGTGATGTTAGATGTTTTGATTATTTATATACAGAACCCCTAAGATATTATATCAGTTATGTGTATGTACAACGCTGATTTGATTACAGATTTATAGTACATAGATGAATTGAGCAAAGTATAAGATGGACAAGAACTCAGAGAGATAAGCGCACTTTTTATATTAAATCCGTATATGTATACCGTTCTTAAGAGTGAGTGTGCTTAATAGTCGCAGACTGCAATCATGGACAAGCGTGACACACTATTGCAAATAAATTTAGAGAGGCCTCTTTACGAACACGAAGCATTAAATCAAAATTATAATTATGAGAAACCAAAATCATTTTGTAAGTTATAAGTTAGTAAAATAACAAAAGGAAATGCATGTTCTTTATGGTGCTTAATAAATTCTGAAACAATTTTTTATTTTTGCAGTGATGCAAAGTGTGATAAATATCATCAGATCGAAAGATTGGCGAGCTTGTATAGTGTCGACAGTACCGGCGGTGAAATGGCTTAGCAAGTATAATTGGAGGAAAAACATATTGTCTGATATTATCTCTGGTCTAACCGTGGCAATCATGCATATTCCGCAAGGTATGGCCTATGCGCTTTTGGGAAACCTACCACCAGTGGTCGGCATATACATGGCCTTCTTTCCTGTCTTTGTATATTTTCTTTTTGGTACATCCAAGCATGTATCTATAGGTGAGAAAAGTGCAGATAAAATGTATAAAATTAGACACAAGATGCATAATATTGGAGATTTTACTACAATGTACTGTAAAATAAACATACAACAGAATTGCAAAAATATGATACTTTTGTTGAGTTTGTAACTCTTGGGCGTTAATGCATTTATCTGGTTAACTTCCATTACAGAACAGTTAGAAATAATACAACTTAATATGTGAACTTATTCAACAACGTTGAACAATCAAACATTCTTGGCATCCATCAGGAACTTTTGCTGTGGTTTGTCTAATGACTGGTAAGGTAGTAACATCTTACTCAAATCCACTCATGGATCATTCATCATCTGCGAATCTTTCGGACGCTTTTTCTCAAAATGTCGAGGATGTCGCCGTGTATTATACATATACACCCATGCAGGTAGCAACAGCTGTAACATTAATGGTCGGAATATATCAGGTAAATACTACGTTATATTTTTCAAAACATATTTTAATCAAATAGAATGATTAAAAATGAAGATTTCTCTTATGTTATAGATAATAATGTATACATTCCAATTAGGCATTATAACAACATTGCTGAGTGAAACTTTAGTGAATAGCTTTACAACAGCAGCTGCTGTTTATGTCTTAATCTCTCAAATCAAGGATCTTCTTGGTTTAAAACTGCCAAAGCAAAAAGGATATTTTAAGCTAATTTTGGTAAGTAAATATACTCCTAACTTCCTCTTAATAAAATGAACAATTCTTTACAAAAATTTTTCTTTTATATATATATATGTATGTATGTATTTGTAATGCGCGTGGATCCATGTAGTCCGATTCGTAGTTGGCAAGTCTCGAATTCAATTCCGCACGCTTACTTATTTAGGATATTTTAGTTTTATTTGGACTTAATTTTTGTTTGTATTTATAAAGTCTCATGTCTGCTATTGGTTGCTTCTTTATAAGTGTTTTACCCTTCATTAGAGGCACCAACTTCTCTGGTACAGTAATGCGGTGATGTTTCGTCTGATAAGTCTCGCATAACGTGATTAGCATGCGAGGTATTGCACATGCAGTTCCATTCAATGTGTGCACGTGCATTATGTTTCCCTCTTTCGTTCTGTACTTGATGTTGAGACGTCTAGATTGATAATCTGTACAATTACTACAACTAGACAATTCACCATACAGCTTTCTTCCAGGCATCCAGCCTTCCATGTCATATTTTCTAAAAAGAAAGAAATAAGAAAAGCATTGTATTTGCATATATAAGAACGTACAGATTATACATAATTGAAAAATGTGATTACTGTACCTATAAGCTGGTGAACCTAGATCAGTTGGAGGCATATCCATTATTTGAAAATGTAATCCTAACGAAGAGAACAATTCCTCTTGTATGTCTTGAAGATCTTGAAACACTTTCTCAGATTGGCATGGTTCGGAACAGACAAACATTTCCACTTTGGTGAATTGATGAACTCTGTGTTCAAGCATGATAAATTAAAAGAAAAAATAGATTTCACAATTCTTTAAAATATATCCTTATACTTCAATAATAATATCCATTACCTATAGATCCCTCTTTCATCAAGCGAACTTGAACCCTCGGCGCGATAACATCGACTAACAGCAACTAGTTTCAATGGTAATTTATCATAAGAAAATGTAGTATTCATTAACTTTCCAGCTAATGACATTTCTGCAGTTCCAGACAGACTATAGTCATCGTCATAACAAGAATCCAATTTGTATACAAGAGTTCGATCATCATTCACTATTAAACCACATCTCTCGATAACACTACTTTGAATAATATCAGGAACTGATACTAATTTAAATCCATGCTTCATCAATTTCCTAATAGTGTATTGAATCAATGCCTCTTCCAGTTCTGCCAAATCGCCCAAAAGTATATAACTTCTCTGTCCAGCGATAGGACCCAGGGCTTGTGTTCTTATTGTTTTCAGATCAGTGGCAAGCTCAGCAAATTCTTTAGGTTCAAAATCAAATTTTACTTTCTCACCACATTGCTTTAAAAGTTTTGGTACATCACGATATTCAAGTACTGCAGGATGTGTACAGTTTGGTATTTTACTCAATTCTTGCAAGAACAATTCTCGCTTCTCAGACTTGTCTGAAAATTCGAGTACTCTATCGATATCACCAATTTCCTTCCTTCTTCTGATATTATTTAAAATGGCATCGCGATTTCTGGGATTGCATAAAAAATCTGTATCATATTCTGGTTCAGGCAAGCATAATTTCTCGCTGACAATATTTTTTCCTGATGTTTCAACGGGCTGTTACAAGCATCATTATTTTATTAAAATGGATTGTATAAAAATATATAAAAAGGGAAGATAATTATAATGGGTAGACATTACAATTGGTGATACACAGGATTACATACCAATGTGTGTATCCAGGAAGATCGTAATCTACAAAATTGCTTGAAGTACTTTTCAAGTTTAAATTTCATTTTATATAAAGAATGTATCCATTCATATAATTCTTTAATTTTTTTTAAATTCAAATTAGATAACAGAAATAAATTGATTGACACTGTATATATAGAATTTGTAACTTGTTTAAATAATATGCTTGTTATATAAAGCTTTATGTGATATGGAAGATGTATATATATTTTTTAACACATTTTATGTTTTACATTCATATTCAATTTTTAATATTTCGCTATTTTATGTAAGCCGACATAAAACGTTTATTCGTACAATTATAATCGCTTTTGTTAGATTATTTTTAGAATTTTTTTATTCGATTATGTCATAGACATATGAAATACATAGAGAGAAAGTTAGGAAGAATTTAAAGTATCCCCCTTATATTCATATTAGAAACTACACGTCAAAGACTGAGATTGAAGATTGAAATTTGACCAATCAGAATAAAGGAATCTTTATCCCTTTAGTTCTGATTGGTCAAGTTTACACTGATCCCGTATAATTTTCGATCTTCGAGGCGTTAATTATAATTTCTATGAAACAGTTTCTCCTATGGGATAGTGAATGTTTTCCAACATGAACCAATCAGAATATAGGGAACTAGAATTTCTTTTTTCTAATTGGTCAATTTTCAATCTTCAATGTATAGTCTGATACGGATTTAACACACATCATGCTCTATATATACGTATACAGAAATTAATCAAGTATGTAATACGTAATATAAAAAATAAAAAACATGTTTCCTATTTTGAATAAATTTTATCAGTTGGTTTCTTTATTCATTGTGCATATACACTCGCAAATCTGTGACGATAAGGTTTTCCGGTTGCGCGTGCGCACGAGAGTCACTGAGTTGGAGCGCGGGCTTGGCGCTTGGCGTCGCTCGCCCGCTCGCCTGGTGGAGAAGACAGAACAGGCGGCTCCGAGCAATTGGCGTATCGACCGAGCACTTGATTAAAATCTTATTTCGCCTACTTACGCGCGCGCCGCTGCGATCTCGCAAAATTACGGTAGGTACAGTGATCGATGATGAGCGAAAATAATAAATTGATATTGGATTACGCGCGCGCGTTTTTCCACGCAGCTCACTCGGATTTTGCCTCGCATTCCGCGTGACGATAAACGCTCTCCCCTCCGTGCTGTTGGGGCCATATTGCTATCCGTTGATAAATTTACGGAATTTTACCGTACCGACTGGTGAGTGAGGCCTCGCGCGGAGATGATGATGATCGCGTCGCGCAAAGTGTCAAAATATACGTCCGTCGTAAAAACGCGTTCCTCCACGCGCTCGGCCAACGACCGGAGCGAAGCGTTTCGCCAAGACTCGCGTTCTACCCGTTTTTTACTAGCCGACATATATTCCAACACGATGCGCAAACCGCGAAAACGCGACCTTCGTCGTGTTGCGACGTGTCGTTTCTCTTGAATATTTTGGAATATTCCGCGTTCGCGGTTCGCGCTCGCTTACTCGTCAAAACGTTTTCAGGTTTAACACAGGTGTAACGCTGCAATCCGTAAGCGAAAACTTGTGTATAGATATCCGTCGGCATAAAGACGCACGGCTATTCCTTAGCATCAGTCAGCAATTTACGAGTGTATATAATAATTCGTTAATGTGAAACTTATCTACCTACTAATTTTCACGTCGCATTGTTTATATATTTATAAACAATAAACATATTAAAAATTGTACTTTTATCATAAAATATATACATATATAATGTTTACTCTTTAGGTATAATTTTAGATATATATGACCTAAGAATGGAGTTATCGTCGGAAATATTGGAGAGCTTGGTTATGGATAATAAAGATGTTATGGAGGTGCTGAAAGGTGGAAGCGTCACGGAGGAAGACATTATATTTGAGTCTGAAGCAACTGAGGATTCCGAGGAGGCAGAAATAGAAGAAATTATAGAAATAATCGAGGAAGTTGAGGAATGTGACGAGGAGATCGCTCTGGATGGTGATGTATCTTTGTCAGAGGATAAAGATAAGACAGCGAATACAAAGGATGGTGAAACGATTGAGAAAACAGAGAAAAATGATCAAGCAACTAAGAAAAATATAGAACTTTATGGCTTCGACGAAGAGAATTCAGTGTTCGCTTTGCAATCTGCAAAGAAAGACTCGGCCAAAAACACTAACAACAGCACACAGAAAACTATTAATAAACAAGTTATAAATTATGACGTAGATGAGGACTGGCAGGATGAAGAACTGGACCGTATAGATGAATTGGATAATACTTCTGAATTAGTGGACAGCCATGCAGATTCTTTACAGACACAAGCTGATAAAAAACATATAAATAATCAAACTGTTTCGCTACAATCAAATAAAATAGATTTAAGAATTCACATGGATTCCATAAAAAGATCGGATAAATCTCGAACAGACAATGGTATCGGAAATAATATAAATAATATTGAAGATGATAGCGAAACACCTCATGAGATAGTGAAAAATGTAGAGAACAATCTATTGTATACTGTGCTCGGTACAAAGAAACAAGACTCATCTAAACAACAACAGGAAAAGCTCAACGATGCACATTATGTCAAAGTAAGTATATCATTGGAATACTGCAAAAAAATATAATCTATCTTTTGATATTGTTAATGATTGCATTATCTTAGATGGAACGTCTCGAGGAGAACACTATACCAGTCGAGGGTACCATTTACTATGAAGGAGATAATATGGAAACATTATATGTAGCACAAGCTATTGATGACAATGAACAATATCAGTACGATAACGCGACAATAGAGCAAGATGAGCAAATGTCTTGGGAAGCGGCAAATCCCGAATCTAATCAAAATCAGGAAGAGGATAGTTCTCAAGTATAACATCCCTAGTTAAAAAGTTAACAGCTATATTTATTGAGTAAAACATTTGAGAGCAAAGGTTTTTTTTTAAATTTCAGACAATTGTAGATATATTTAAAGAAATAGAAAATATCAACATTGCTGCAGCAATAGTATCAATTGTATCAATTATTATTCTTATTTTCAATAATGAATTTCTGAAGGTAAATATATATATTGTATTAATTTGATATTTTAATTCGAAAATATTGGCAATGTTATGACATAATTTTTGTCTTCAATTAGCCAAGAATGAGCAAAATATGCAGCATACCAATACCAATTGAACTCATTGCAGTCGTCGGTGGGACATTGATTTCTCGATATTGTGATTTACCAAAGATTTATAATATTGAAATCGTCGGACATATTCCTACAGGGTACGTCCTAAATGTTTTATCATTTAAATTTATTTACTAAAATTCTTTCTCTCTCTTGATATTTATCTTAAACTTTAGATATTATATATATCAATGCTTCTCAATAGGCTTCCCAAACCAGAGGTACCAAGTCTTGAATTATTGCCCTTGGTAGCGATCGATAGCATCGCAATAACCATGGTTTCATATACTATTACTATATCAATGGCATTGATATTCGCGCAGAAACTTAGCTATGAAATAGATTCTAATCAGGAACTTCTTGCAATGGTGAGAGATCTATTAATATATATATATATATATATTTCAATATAACATATTTATTCTCGATAGTAAATTATATATGTATATATTTCTATTTCAGGGCTTCAGTAATGTAATGGGCTCTTTCTTCTCGTGCATGCCGATATCGGCCTCCTTAAGCAGATCTCTCATTCAACAAACCGTTGGAGGACGTACACAGATAGCGAGCATCGTGTCTTGCTTACTGCTATTCGTTATACTTTTGTGGATCGGACCGTTTTTCGAACTGCTACCAAGATGCGTGTTAGCTTCCATAATAGTTGTATGTATAAAATTATATCATAAAATCATAGATCGCCTTATTAAAAAAAAAAGATAACCTGAGGATCTTTCACACAGGTGGCGTTAAAAGGAATGTTCCAACAAGCTAATCAGTTAGTAAAATTTTGGAAACTGAGCAAGACTGATGCCACAATTTGGATTGTAACGTTCCTAATTGTGACGCTAATAAATATTGACATTGGATTGCTCGCGGGATTGTTCGTGTCGCTGGCCATTATTCTGTTGCAAGCTATTCGGCCCTATACGTGTTTGCTGGGTCACATACCACATACAGATTTATATTTGGACTTGGATAGATACAAAGCGGTAAATTTTCATCAAGTAGATAAATGTGAAACAAAAATGAAATATTAATTAATTTTACATATTGATTTTAGGCGGTAGAGATACACGGAGTAAAAATATTTCATTATTGCGGCACTTTGAACTTTGTCAATAACAATTACTTTAGGTCCACAATATATAGACTTGTAGGAGTATGTCCACAAAAGATGATCAAACATAGAAAAAAATTAGCTGAAGAAAATCGTTTTTTGGATGATAAAGATTCCGAAGATAGACATGAATTGCAATGCATAATCATGGACATGAGTGCGTTAACTTATATTGATCCCAGCAGCGTTCAGATGTTGCACTTGATCGTCGAAGAATTTACACAGGTGAACATCAAGTTTTATTTTGTCAATTGTCCAAGTCCCATCTTTGAAATGATAAAGAAATGTGATTTATACATATATGGTAAGATGTCGATGAAAATCTTTGCAACTATACAAGATGCAGTCGCTTACTTTCGAAACGAGGTTTCCACATGATAATGGAAAAGTTTTCTCAATCATAATATGCTGTGTATAAGACATATTTTTGATAACAATGTTAACTGTAATGCAGGAATATGCAGCTATATTTTGCATTCTATTCCAGTATTACTTTTTACGTTGTATCTTCGCGAGATATTTCCTGCAAAATAATATTATAACAAAGAAAGAAATAATATTTTTTACTCAGTGCCAATTTTTAATAAAAAAAAAAGTGCGAAATGTGTTAAGCACAGCATTATGGCTGTGGTCGAGAAGACGCTAGAGATGCTTCAAAGCATATATATGCAAAATATATATTTTTTTTTTTATTTATAAAATTAAATTTTTTTTACCAGGTATCCGGATCAGACTTCTTTAGCTCGCCATAGAAAGACACACACCGGGACGCTAGAGATGCTTCAAAGCATTGCATTAACCAATCAGAATAAAGAAATCTTTACTCTTTTTGTCTTGATTGATCAAACGCTTCGAAGCAGCATTTCTAGCGTCTTCCCGACCGCAGGCTATATTTGAACAGCATGATATTTGTAGATTGTATTGAAGACAGTGATACAAATGTACTTCACAAAAGATATTCTATCTAACTTGTTTGTACTTACAGTATACTTAAAAATTTTATTGCAATTTTGAAAACCGCTAATATATATATATATATTTTTTTTTTGTTACATCACATTTTGATGGTTACATGTATCATAAGTATTGTTGTGTATTGGAAGAAGAAATATTAAGCAATATAACATATAATTGAGCAATCGTCCTGTTTATTTATAGCGATCACCCTATGTACAATGTGACAGTTTCTAGTTACTCTGAATAACTTGCTGTAACTGTCGCAAAGGTTAGATTTACTGTGCCTTTTATAATTATAGAGCCGGTATAATTAGCATTCTATACATTTCCTATTTGTAAGACACGATTATTTTTTCTAGTAATCTGCGGCAGTGTTGCCTGTTGATGCTGCATTGTATGTCATAAAATAAATACTCGAGAATAAGTGGCGAGACACATTGTTCAACAATGGTACGTCACAAAGATCAAATTGAAATTGCTTTATATGTTTTCTTTTCTAAATGTGACAATCCAATCGGAACGCGTTGTCTTCTGGCGTTTATGCCAGCCCGTATTTTTTCTTAAGAGTCTCTGGCATCTCGGGTGGCGGCGGGCGGGGCATGCGCAACCAGACCTTAACGGCGTCGTAGATGAACCATTGCGCTGCAGTCAGGGTACCGATCATCACAATCCTCGGTCCCAGGCCCTTCCACACGCCGCCAAAGCCGAGTTTCCTCAGGACATCGCCCGCGGACGCTCCCTTCTCTTGGTTCAATTTTGATACCACCTGATACAGACATTTATATATTTAATAAATCTGAAATATGAAGAAAACTTGTGCAATTATGTAAATAAAATTTACCGTATCAGCAGGGTGAGATACAATGGCGCAAAATACACCAGCGATATATCCAGCCGCGAAAGTGACTATTAGTTGTTCGCCTTTACTGCACTCTGCTCTAGGCTTAGGTACTACATATTTATACAGAAGTTCGACAGTGCGCTCGAAGCAGGCAAATTTCATCATTGTGTAAGGGATTTGACGCAACCACAGTGGTACTAGACCCTTATAGAAACTGGTAAGACCCTCATCTGCGTACATCTTCGGCAATGCTTGTCGCAAAGTGTTAGCATATCCGGGCATAGTTTGTATCCTGACCTACAATTTAAAGTCCCATTGCATAAAACAGACTAAATGATAAGATATGGAATAGTCTACAACAATTTAAAAAAAGACATCGAGCTATTTGTTACCTTAGCAGCTTCAAACGGCGCTAAACCAATATCCGCGAAGAATTCCGCGGAAGCTGATGATATCAAATACAACGAGGTTCTGTATTCATAAGATAGTTCTTCACCGGCCATTGCTGCATACTGAACTTTGAAAACCTCGTAGAGACCAAATTTAAACATTCCCTGAATAGAATAGCCGAAAAAGGTGGGCGCCCAGCCTTTCACCAATCCCCGGGTGCCGTCTTCAGCAAGTGTTACCTACAATCAACAAGATTTATGATAAATATTTTATTTATAGAAATCTACAAAAAATTAGCATATTCAGAATAAGAATTACCCGAAATCCATTGAACACTGATTTATATTTTGCAGGGTCCACTTGAATTCGGCATTTGACTAAATCTAAGGGAGTGATGCCGGTATGAGTGATACCGCAAGACAAAATGCCCCCGAGACCGCATAACAAGAAATATTGGTTCGACCCAAATTCGCAGCTATCTGTAAATATACAAGATACATCATATTAATTTTTATTTTCCGCATTAGAAAACATTTTTTTTTTTAACGGTATATCATTAATTGTGAATCAATAAATAGCATCGACGCGTTTAAAGATTTAAGATTTTAATATTCTAAGGTGCATTTCAGAAAATCTCTGAATATTAGAGATACAAATGTTTAGAGAACACAAATGTTTCAAAGGCATTGTTCGATCAGCTGATCAAATTACCGAGGTACTAAAGTTCCTCTGGCATGCATTCAAAATTCGAGCCGATTCGCCCCTCATTCTTGATCTACGAAAAAAAAGACATCCTCCTCTTGACATGATGTTTCTCGGTCACGGTCAACATACAACGAATTGGATTTATTTTTACGTAGCCCTCATCATGTCCAAGGCTAAGAGAAGCACGTTTTATAACGTGCCGATATATGACAAGATGGCCGCGCCTTATGCAACTCGCGGCTTGCATCCATTTAACTTGGACGGATTATGTCTTTATGACATCTCTTGAGGATTTGTCATTTGTGAATTATATAATTTGCAGTTTTCTTCAATAGTAAAATTAAATAAAATATAAACGATGTACACGCATCGTGTGTGATGCGATCGTATATATATATATATATATATTCGAATGTCCATTTGAATTTCAAAAACGCGAGATTTTACCGTTGGCTCTTCTATACAAATGTACCGAGATAACAGTTATATAATTAATGTATCATAACCGATCGAGAGATATCCTAAAGGACAGAATATGTCTAATATTAATGAGAGAAATTATATCTTGCTATTGTTAAATTTACAAGCTCTGAGAATTGTATAGCACAAATATAATATCGATAAGTAACTTTGAAAATCGAATTTTGACAATTGAATCCCGACGTTCACAATATTTCGGTAATTTTGAGTTATGTAACGCGACACGATCAGAATGTCAGATAATAAATGGCGGGCGGTCTTATCACATATAAATTTATATATATATATATCTCAACATATAAATATCGAATACAATATTTTCGGCATTTATAAGCAGCCGTTTCCAACCGTTCCCAGCCATTACGAATAAGATATATTCTTTGTAACGTTAAACAGAAAAATTGTACGAAAGAGGTATAACCTCTCGATTAACCGATCAAAGGGAGAATCTCTCGATCGTTGGTTTTATATGAAAAGAATCGGAGATGAGAGATAGTTACTGACCACCCTCCTCGACGGAGGCGGCGACGATGTTACGATTCGGAACGAGCGGTCGTGTTCCATCGTCCTTTAACGCCTGACACTTGGCTTGCGTAAACGGCGACGAGAATGGACTCATTTTCGCTGCCTCCTGCACCCAAGACAACATCGTGATCACGCGACTTGAACTCGCGCTTGCACCTGAACAGAAGCATTTAAAATTAATGACAGTTCGAATTAGATCGTATTAGGTATATACGATTTACATTTACTAAAGGGCACTACATCAAAGTACGGCACCTGTTCCAAAGGAATGATTCTCGCCACCGAGAAACCCGCGAAAGAGTGGCAGAGGGTCGAGGGTAGAGGCAGAGCAAGGCAGAGGATGCGCGATGCGCGATGCGCGTGCAAATTTGTTCTTTGCAACTAACTTCTTGGATTGCGTTCCAAAATTTACTTCTTGGAGTAGAGTAGCGTTTGATTGACCAATCAGAATAAAGAAATCTTCGTCTCGATTGGCCCCCTAGTTAAAAAGTTAACAGCCAAATGTTACAAATAAATATATCATAAATACCTCTATCTTTGCATAGGATCAAATATTTTTACACGAGGACGAGGATGGTCAGTTGTACTTTAAGGATGCTAGTGGAATTTTGCAGCCAGTGTATTTGACCGAGGATGGAAATTATGCGATTGCTGAAACTAGCGACGATCATACTGGTAAAGAATTGCAATCAAAATCTCAACAAAACAGCGATACAATTGAAGATGACACTTACATTTTACCTGATTCGGATATTAAATCTATTTCTAATAAACAGGTACGGATCTAATATACATTTCACACATATTAAAGGGAAATTGTCATTTCATTCTATTTACATTCTATTTACAAATTTACTAGACAACCAGTAATACGGTATCACCGACATCGCTTCAAGATTTTGATAATGAAGACAATACTGTAACTATATCTTTGATAATATCGGAGGATGAGAATGGACAAAAGAGAACTCAAGTCATTATACCAACAACGGATAATTTAAAGTGTGACATCTGTAACAAAAGTTTTAAAACATCCTGCCAATTACTCAGACATAACAGATTAAAACATGCTCGCGAGGAAGATATAACTACAAGAAACTTTCCTTGCGATTTGTGCCCTAAAAGGCAAGTGAGCCTTGAAACTTGTCTCCTAAAAATTCTGCGCATTGCAGACGCTCGACGCTTAATGCTGCCATGTAAAGGCACCTTAACGACTGCAACGCTCGCGAGCATCGTCTGTCTTTGTTTAATTTTCGGTGAACAACAAGGATGAAATGATACCGTGAGCGTTGCGGTTGTTAAGTTGAACGCACCCAATGGGCGCGTTCCACTTAAAGGTGCCTTTACATGGCAGCATTAAGCGTCTGCGCAGAAAAATGCGCAGAATTTAAAAGAGATAGATTCTAGGCTGAAATTAGATTCTGCGCAATTTTCTACGCAGACGCTCGACGCTTGACGCTGCCATGTAAAGGCACCTTAACGATCGCAACGCTCGCGAACATCATCTGTCTTTGTTTAACTTTCGGTGAACAACAAAGATGAAATGATACCGTGAGCATTGCGGTCATTAAGTGGAACGGACCCCATGTGATTTCCATGCGTAATGTTGATAATCCTGGTCATATCGGCAGATTAGCGATCTTAATATTTGAAGGTTATGTTCACGAGTTGTACTCGTGTTACACAAGCACTTGCGCGAAATGATTTCTACTTCTGCTTTGCAAAGAATCGCGATGATAAGAATCGCTAGCAATTTCTATAGATCGTATCTTCGAACTATAAGTAAAAGCTCTGCCGACAGCTCTGTAGAGATTAATGTAGCGGTGGAAAATGACATGGTAAATCAAAGTGATTGTATCATAATATATCTTGTGTATTGCTTATAAACACACAACGCAATGTATATTTTTACGTCAAATTATTTATTCCAATATGTGTGTGTATTGTCACATTTTATTCTCATATTACTTAATTATCTGATCTATTTTTAATTCATGAATATAATTATTGCACTACTACATATTTGTTTTTCTTATATTTGTAGCCCATAAAAATTCAAAACCCTTTTATAAAGGAAAAACAACAATGTATCTTGTGCAGATTGAATATTGAACCAGATTACAAAAATGTGAGATTGCTTTCTCAATTTCAAAGTCGATACACTGGCAGAATATACGAAAGACACATAACTGGATTGTGCGAACATAAACAGAAGAGGATAGAAGAAGAAATTATAAAAGCTCAATCTGCAGGTGCTTGAATACTCATGTATTTTTGTATTTAATAGGATCCAAAGAGGAAGAAAGAGAGAAAGACTTAAAAGAAATTATTAATATACATCTTTACATTATAGGTTTAATGGCTTACTGGACCAAAGAACCAAAGTATGTCAAAGATCCCCAACTATTTGATCCAAATCATCCATTTAGGCCGCATAAATATTAGATGAGTAATAACAGAATTATATATAGATTCAAAAAAAAAATTAGTGTTATCATGAAATTAGAAGGCCATTACATTTGTAAAATGTACTGATTGATTGCCAAGAAACTATTGGAATCCTAAAAATTCTCTATCTAATAGTTAATTTGTACATTTGGCAAACCTCACACAAATTTTTGATAAATGTATTATCAACCTTAATCTCTTAATTGTAAGTACTTGAATAAATGTAACAACTATGAATTATTTTAATAAACTCTTATCTTATCTAAATAAAGAAGATTTGTATTTATCATTAACAAAACTTAGGCTGCGTTCGGAAACATCATCCGTGTGCACACGAGCGTCGTTCTTTGTTATGTACCAAAAGTTAAACAAAGATAGAACGACGCTCGTGTGCACACGAGTGATGTTTCCAAACGCAGCCTTATAGAACAGTATTCATGGTATTTCAACTATGATAGAATATTGAAAAAATCTAAGTACAAATGTGTTTCAATATTACTCTTCTCAAAATTTCAATAAATTTTGTGTTTAACATTAAAAAAAATATAACATTTCACGTTTTATTATTTCCGAAATTTAAATAAAAGTTAAATTTTAATTTAAACAAATTTTTTTGTTAAAAATTATGTTAATAGAAGCAGCTAAAATGGATGATGGCAGATGGCGTTTTCAAATACAGGCGGGAGTTCGCGAATCGATCGTTATTTCGCTTCAAGACTATATTCATCATTACTGGATAATTGCTAATCGTTTGGCAACGATTTTTATTGATTTGTAGTAGGAGGAAAATAATAGTGATAAATAATAACGAATCTTAATAAAATAAAAAGATTTATACGGAGCATTCTATATCACTGGTAATTTTCGCTCTGTGCTTTGTTGTTTATTGTTCTGTGTTTCTCCTCCAACACACCTCTACCCTCTGCCTGCTTTCTCCTGACGTCAGAGAAGGATACATGCATAGTTTGCTTACACTTAAATTGAACGGATTTTTGATTTTCATCATAATTTAATAAACAATAATGGATATTGACGAGGATTATGACAGCGAGGAAAGCGATTTCGACGAGCGTTCCACAGTAGGTATGTTTTTTGATCGAGATTACCTATTTGGCGCGCGATACGCTATAAAATATATCGTGTAAGGTTACACAGAGAGTATATATATATATATATCGCGTATTTATATTTTCAATTTTAAATGAACGCGTCAAGTAGTAGTACAAGGGTCGGTTGTAGTAAAATCCTCGTTTATATTTGCTGTCACTTTTTAGATTATAGCTTAATCTATGATAAATAGATACAAAAATGACATTGACGCAACTGTGCGTAAGACTGTTCAAGTGCCCAATATTGAAGTTAAACTGCTTTGCAGAAGTTTATCCGCATAGTAGTCCAGACGAGGATTTTGAAAGTTCGTCAGATGTAAGCACGCTCGAACTAGGTATATTCTCTAGTATTTTCCGCATCTTAATGGATTCACTTCTTTCCCTGACTCATAAAACAACAAACAGAAATATATATGTATATTTTATTAAAAGTATGCCATGATATATTTGTAGATCTACCAGCTCATAGGCGATACGTAGAGCCCAATATGGAGGACATACCGGTGCCTACGGAGAACACATTTGATGTGACATTACCGGCGACACATTCTGTAAGTGTGTGCTTTCTGATATTTAAAAGTATAAAAAATTAACGCAATATTTAATTGGTTTCTATAACTAATAAAACATAATTTTCTACAAGATAATTATGAATTTTATATATATGTATATATCTTTTATTTAGTATTTAGGACAAAATTTAGAAGAAGTAAGGGGAAGAACAATACTGGATGATGGCATTTATATGAATCTACCACTGTTGATAAAACAATCTGTACTATTTCCTGGTCAAACATTACCTATGACAGTTTTTGGCGCACAGACTATAGATATGTTGCAAAATTGCATACAAAATGATCGTACTTTTGGTGTTGTGTGTTATGGTCATCCTGAGATGGAACGAATAGGAACAACAGCTGAGATTTACGAATACACAGATGGAGGTATATGGATGGATCATGGTCGGCGAGAATTTCGCTTAAAAGCTAAAGGAAGGCAGCGCTTTAAGATATTACGTATTATTACGCAGGTCAGTTTTAACATGAGTGACATAAAAATTTGCAACAATAATTGTTTGAGAAATATAAGAAAATTATATCTTATAGAGAGAAATTAAAGACGTTTTTTATAGAGTATTATAGTATTAAAAAATTAACTTATTTTCATATATTTCACAATAAAAAAATTTATATGATTTAACCTTTCTAATGATATAATTCAATACAACTGCAGTAAGAGATCAGGAGTTTTAATCTCAGATATAGATATCATACTTATATCACACATCTTTACAATTTACTGTATTTATCATAATTTGCTTATAAGATTTTGATATTATAATCAGGATCACAATAAAATTTCGGCCAATGTTAAAGTGTTACCAGAGATAACACTTGGGCCACCGTTTTTGGACCAACGCTTGGCCTCATTAGATCGCTTGAGAGTTTTTTCTGATTTGGAGGAAGACATGAAGAAACAGGAGAAAGTAGAGAACTTGGATGCCGCGGTGACTGCTTGGCCAGCTTGGGTCTATAGGCAGTACGATCCTATAAGACTCTCCTTTAGAATACGTCAGCATCTTCAGTTTCTTGAAACTAGTAAGTTGCAATTGTATAAATAAAAATATATATGTAGATTCACTCAACGTTTTTATTGTATAAAAATTGTATTTTATAGGAGGTGGTAGTATACCTAAAGATCCTATAGATTTATCCTTCTGGGTCGCACAAAATATTCTAATGGATCATGATGAGAGACTTATATTATTAAGTTACGATTGCGCAATTTCTCGATTGCAAAGAGAATTAAAGTATCTTATGGAGGTATATATAAAACAAAACATTATATACATATCTATATAAGTACTTGACGAGATAATGTTTGCATTGTTTAATATCAAACTGTTATTTAAAGGATAAAATCTACGTGTGCGTTAATTGCGAATCCTTTATCGGAAGACAGTCACACATGTTTCCGATGAATAAGGAAGGTCCGCAGGGTACTTATGTCAATCCCGGCGGTGTTATACACGAGACTATAACTTTTTACCACGTTCAAGGAGTTATGCTCAGTGATGCGGCTCCTTCGACTGAATACAGTTGGTTTCCAGGGTAAAGTTGCAATGTTCCCGTTCATCGGAAATGCGTGAAGTTTAGATTTCATTGTTAATAATTGTGCGCGTAATTTTAGATATGCTTGGACAATAGCTATCTGTAAAGGCTGTCATCATCACGTCGGTTGGAAGTTTACAGCAGTGCATAATTTAAGGCCCAAAACATTTTGGGGTCTGACACGCAGGAGTTTGAAGAATAAGAAGAAAAAATAAAACAAAGATATACATGTTTAATCTATATTGGGTGTCATAAATGTTTTTATAATTTACTAGATGAGTATTTTTAACAGATGTATCATGTTTGATATAGTTAATTTCTCTTATTTTAAGATTTTTTCTCAGTTTATAATCTTATTTTAATAGCATATGAGCAGAATGGGAATGACTGTATTCTATTTTTCATTCGTGTATTCACTCTAATGTATGACCATGTGGCAAATACGATTAATGGAAGAGCAGCGCAAAAGGGAAAATTTAGTTTAGAGGAAAATATCCGATTTAGGATAGAGAAAAATCTAACAATAAAATGGGAGATCTTAGAATAGATGAAACTTATTTTACATACCATGATCGATATGCAATTAAAAAAAAAATTTAAGTGACAGCTAGTAAACTTGAAAGATTTTATAGAAATAAAGATAGATAAAGCATAATATATATTAAATGTTAGCTTATATTATTCTTGATTACAAATCGTGATACAATGCATTCTTTCCAAAAATTTTCTTAGGAATTTATCCAAATAAATATTAAAACATTTTTATGACACCCAGTATGCAGTGCATGAGTTTTGTTCTATCTCTAATTTAATTATAATACGCTTGGACATGAGCAATTTATAAAAATTATATATGCAAAAAATAATTATTATATCAATAGTAATTATGAGTTATAATACAAAAAACTTTATGTATATATTGAATGGTTAAGGCTGTTGCAAGGGAGTTGATCAGCCAACAATCTTTCTATTTGCATTAATTAAAAATTATATAAAATATTATTTTTTAATATGCAGATATTGCAGAAACTATATAACTAGAAAACAAGTAAAATATCTTTCATATTGTTCATTATTTTATGTCTAATTTTGTCTTTAGTATCTTGTATAAGAAAAAACATATTGTTTCATCTCTTTATAGTAGTTCTATTTTTTGATTAATCTGTTGAAATTTTATTATTCTATCCATAATGTTCAAATTTTTCTTTGTCCTTTGTGCAATTGAGATAAACAGAGAGAGATGCAAATCGTTAAACATGATTTGTACAGTAGCAGGATTCTCTAAACATCTTAGCGACGATTATCGTTGTCGTTAGCGAGCGATAGCCTATGAGAATTGCGCTTTTTACCAGAATTGTCCTTGCCATTGGCTGTCGCTAGTTAACGATACCGAAAACTGTCGATAACAAGTTACTGAATTCCGCTACAGGTATTATAAAAAATGTACATGAAAATTGTGTGTACATCCTTATCTATTGGATTTATTACAATTATACAAGTAATTTAATTTATTCTCAAAAATTAGTAATAAAATGTATATATTAATGGACAGAATAAAAAATCTATATGAGTTTTATATAATAGCGTATTCGATTTCTTGACTCTACCCGACTCTGGGTCGAGTCGAGTCAGATCTCAAGTTCGATTTGAAACTTTGTCTAGAGATTCAAGAAAGTTTCTATTTTGCAGCCAATCAATATACTTAAAAAGTTTGTCGTACGACAAATGTAATATTGGCCTAAGGCAACAAGTGGCTGTACACGGCCCTGAAAAACGTCGAAAAAAGTGGACGCTCATGATGGCTGCGATGATGTATTAAGGCTGGTTTATGCAGGCCGTAACTGTTAATTTATGCCGGAACCGTTAAAGTTTAACACTAGGATTACAATGCTTTTGTTCATAATGCCATCATTCTTGATTGTGATTGGTCAATTTCTTAAGGCTTAGAGCTTAAATCACTATTGTAGACCGGCACTTACCGTTCACGATAAGTCTACACTCACTACCGATACATTCTCTCTTGTTATTCTTTACTCAATGACTCAATGGAATGTAATAATTTTTAATATTCTAGCCTGATATGGTATAAAATAGTATATAATACGATAATTTTTAGAAATTTATATGGAAATAGTAGACACAGAGAAAGAAGCAAAGATAAAAGGAGATTCCTAATAGTTCGATCTGTTGATAAAGAAATAGCAAAAAAATTTTGCTTATATTTTAAAATGGATGAGAACGCACGCACAATTTATTGCGGAAATCTAAGCGAAAAAATAACCGAGGATATTCTCTATGAATTATTTCTACAAGTTAGTATATATATATATTCTCCGTATAATAATATTAGAAATGAAATACATATATATAATTTCTATAAATATCCTATCAATATTTTTTTCACATTTGTGTAAAGACAAAAATACTTTCTCTCTAGCTTATTCTGTCAACTATTCATATTTTATTAATTTATTCATAAATTATATATATATAT